ATACTGCTTTGAGATTGAGACTAACGCCTTACCCACTATGTTACATGGTTCATGATGATTTGGGGCATTTAAATAATGTTTGTGATATACCGGTTACCCATGACTTAAGTATTTCTCTAAAAGATGCGAATGTTTTGTCATAAAAGTGTACTTTTAAAGTGAAGTGGGTCTTCGCTTCATGTTTTAGTAAACCACAACTTGTATATTCTATTGCCAACTTTTAGGATCATCATTTTACAAAAAATGGAACGAAGACCCACTCATACAAAAAAAAATTGTTAAAGTATGAGAAAATGATCCTTTTTATTCTTTTTAGTGTGTTTATGCTTTTTCATAGGCAAATATTTTCAGTCTGTGTGAGATTTTTGTAAATTGTAGAGATTTAGATTAAATAAACTTCATTATTAGATAAAATATCAAATAAAATTCTGATATTATTGAGATTTGATTTTTAACTTTTTATCTGTCGCACTATAGGCGTTTCGGCGGCCTTCTCCCCTATCTTCTTTACGAACACCACTGGGCCGTCTTATTTAAACATGCTCATGTTAATTATCGAAGAATAGTTATTCAGTAGCTGTCGTATGGCACCAATGCACGGGTACTTGTGGAGAGGTAAATACCCCCCCCCCCCCGTCCGACGGACATGTCCATAAATTCCTTTGATAGCAAGTATCATACATATGACCAATATTTACAGCCAAAATATGTCTTGACTTAATTTGAAGCCTACTACTTTCAGGATACAGCTAATTTGTACTTGATCAAACTTTGTATCCACTGTTTGCCGATTGCCGTATTTGGTTTTAACTCTGCTGTCATTGTTTGCCTCGTATGTTTCACCAAACAAAATTAAATGCTTTAGGCGCTTTTATTAAACAACAGAAATTATCCATATTTTGTCGTAAAGAGTCTAAATTTATTATATACAACAAGGAATGTGACCGTAGAATAGCAATTTTTATTATATTAGCTCAATTTGACCAATTTTTTTCTGAACAGCGATTGAAATTTAGATTTATTTTGTTTTTATTTTGTTTCAATAATGAATCATAGTTTTATATTTAACAGAAAACTAATTTAAGGTTCGATCAACACGGGAAACCACCATTCGAAAATAAATGAATGTTATAAATAGTCAAAAGTATAATATCAATTAGGTCTCTGTCATAGCGATAACACTCATAGTGTACGTATAATTTAAAATGACTCTCATTAAATAAAATATATCGTACCATTGCAATCAAACAATTTTTAAAAACAATGTTGAAAGATGAAACAAGATGATTGTTTACCATCATTAATACGTTTAATCCTCTTCCCTGCAGTCAAGCATTTCAACGCATATACCATTTCCTATTTCTAACGCAAATCACGCATATAGCGTTTCACCGCAATCACGCATTTTACGCACTTTAAAAAGTTCATTTAATCTTAAATTCAATGCCAATTTCCTTCTTTTTCATACTTGCAAAAATATCATAAAATAAAAAAAAGTTAATTTTGTATGAAGACATAACGTCAGAATATTATTTACGTTTAACTTTAGAGAAACGTGTACCTTGCTTAAAGGTGCTTGCGGGGAAATGGTAAATTCCTACTTCTATGGCGTGGATATTGAACGTATTTTGCATAACAGTTCAGTAATTTGTAAAGAGTTAAATTATGTGTACAGACGGGAAAATGTCTAAAAACTTAAAAAGAGATTAAAATGTTCAAGATGCTTCCGCAAATGTCAAAATATGTAACATACAAAAATAAAAGTTTTCAAATGATTGTAGCTTTATATAAATGGAAGGATTGACATTTTGAATGAATAAGTCGCCTTACAAAAACATGCAAAATGAGAGCGATACTCAAAGATATTCAATTTATGTATAAAATTTTTCGATTTTATATTGACTTCACGTAGTGCTTGAATTTTGAGTAAATGCTTCCTGATTGTTTTGAATGTGAAAACATCTCTGGCGGAAGTGACGTTAAAATGACGTAGCATTAGACATATCATGTTTATTATATCACAAGAAAGTATATAACTATCATAAAAATTAGAAGTTTTGCTTTACTGTTTAAAACGTCCTGTATAAAATGTTGCTTAAGTTATCTTTGCACTTCATTGAGTTTCAGTAAATGTCTCAATAATTTCCGAACAGCCCTCGTATACTGGGTATCTAAGACATTCTCTTTTCTGATTATTTTATTAACAAATGATTTGTCAATTATCTGTAATACCAAAGGTGCAAATGTAAAAATTATCAAAAAGACCTATATATTGACAGATATCAAAATCATATGATCTGGATTAAAATCATATGACCTGGCATCAAGCCAACACCAGCACGTAGATCGTCAAACAGTGTTTAGGAAACCATTTTCATAATACAGGTATGTTATTAATTAGCATTATTTTCAAATCACACATTTTGCATCGTTTTGAATGAAATAAAAAAAACAGTAGGTATATGTAAAATGTAGAATGTGCATATAAATTAATAAGGCTTAAAAAATGTAAGAAGTGTTAAACATTTTAGCATGATAGGTTGGTAATTTGCTAATTTATCATTAAAATGTAAAGACATGTACTATCAATAGGCGCTGTTTCATGTTTCATTACATCCGACAAAGTCATGGTTTCTTAATATACTTTAGTTCATACTTTTTAATTGATGAGATTCAATGGAGAGGAGTATAGACTTGAAACGGTCTGTTTACCTAGCTTTACAGAGTCATTAAAATTGTAAATGGACCTGTGTATTTAAAAAACGCCCCTAACTTAATTTTGCTGGCATAATTTGCCAAACATAGTATAACATCTACCAAAAATAATCAATATTACAATTTAAAGTGATTGACTCTGGACACTCTCTTTTAAAGCTTTTTTATTTCTTCCTAGAACATCTAAGCACTAATAATTCGTACATTACTTTGAAAAAATATATAAAAGAGCTAGGTTCACTTTATGCACAAAATGGCCCTGTACTTATATCAATTAATTAACTATCACCCTCTTTCCCATTTCATATATTAAAATTGAGTAGACACTTCGTGCTTTCATTTCCTAAAATAAAATGTCCTTTAAAGAATCCAGATATTTGAAAACATACTTTGTGAAACTTTGTGAAAAATATTCATGTTTTTTTTTTTTGATTTTCAAAACAGATTTTTTTTCATGAATTTGCATATTGTTTGCCGCTTGAAAAGGGGGGTATTAATTTTGGTCTGTCTGTCTTTTTGTCTGTTTGTAACGCTTTCGTTTCCACTCAATATCTCGAGAACCCTTTGGGCTTTCGGAAATAAGTTTAGGATAGTAACATTCTATGGACTAAAGAAGAACCCTATTAATTTTGAGATCAAGAGGTCAAAGTTCAGGGTCACAAATAAGCAAATTCTGATTGTTACAACACTTTCCTCTCCAGAATCCTTTGACCTATTGCAATGAAATTTTACATTACAACTCCCTGTGGCCTAATAAGGACCCCTATTGATTTTGAAGACAAAACGTCAAAGTTCAAGGTCGAGGTCCCGAGTTAAAGTATCGGACGGACCACTTTTATCGAAATACATTATTTTTTACTAAATGATAGTATTCAGCACGCAAACTGAGAAATTTACTAGGTCTGACTTGTACAAACTCATCAAATCATCATAACAGTGGGAGAAATATTCCATACAAAAAGAATTCTCAATACACATAATAAAGAATTAGCAATTAGATCTTTATATCCATATTGGTATATCTTATTTGCTTCAGTATACATGTATACATTTAATACTTCTACAAATTCAGTGAGGGGGATTCGACCCCCCCCCCCCCTCCGCCCTCTTTCTTTCTTGAACTGCGCATAATTTAGTTTTTCCCTAAGCGGGGGACACAAATTCTCTACTGAATTAGCTTTCTAGATGTTGTGCTCAATATGAAATATTGAAAAAAATGCATTCATTTTATGCCATTTTCAAAAGAATTTGTAGGATATGAGAGAAATGAAGCATTTTTTGACGTCATAATACATTGACTTAGAGGGAAAATCATGTCATTATTAATACGTACATGTAATAACCAAGGGTCAAGTAATAAATACTGTATTTGCAACCTAAACTGAGCGTTTTTGATTTCTTAGAAGTTCGCAGGGCCAAAATAGGTCCATAGTGGCTCATGCTATTTCATAGAACTTAATGAATGACGTAGAAAACAATTAACTAAATAATTGTATCAAACAACATATGTGGTTAAACGAAATTCTCGTAAGAAGATCCGACGGCGTACACTCAATTACCATTGGTGTTTTTATACTTGTTATTACATTGTATTTACTCAAAGATACACACATATCAATTTGATGAAAAGTGGTTATTCAAGAACAGCTTTGTTTCCTAGATTTGGATGCATGAGAATAAGAATACACCTATCATGGAACCCCTAGGCAGAGCTCAGGTACTACTTCAATGTGACCTATGTCAAAGCACTGTTTTACAGAGTCATTGTGAAATTTGTCAGATTAACTTGTGTAGGGACTGTGTTGGGGAACATCTCTCTGATTCATCACAAAGACACAATGTTATACCGTACAAATATAGATTTCCTGCCCCTTACTACCCCCAAAATGTCCTGACCACAATACACATTGTGAGTTTTATTGTGAAGAATGTGACATTCCTGTCTGCTCTACCTGCAAATCCTCTGATAAACATCATGGGCATATATTTACAGATGTTTTGAAAAAAGTACATTCTAAGAGAAAAGAATTAGAACACGATTTTGAAGAACTAGAGGTACGAATAAATCCTACATTTGAAGAAATTACCCTAGATTTTAACTCCGAGAAAACAAAATTTGAAAACCATTATGAGAATCTGACAACAGCTGTCACTGAACAAGAGAAAACTTTCAAAGGGAAATTAACATCATTGTTAAGAAACAGAAATCTGAAATTGATGAGATGAAAAACAAACACCTGGTTGCTCTAATGAACATTCAGAAGAAATAAAACATATTACGTCAGATATAAAGCAGAGTATTCTGGATCTAAAGAAAATATTAGACTCCGATGACGTATCTCTAATCTCTGCTTACAAATCAAGGAATGATGAATTTAGATGTTTGCCTCCTAAAGTCAATGTTTCCTTACCACGTTTCTCTCCTAATCAAATAGATACGGAACAACTCCATCAAACTTTTGGTTCTCTGTCAGCAATATCCATTACAAAAGAAGCACATAGCAACACATTAGAGACCCCAGAAGCTGCATCCTGTCCCCAAGCCAAATCACTACTTGATGCAGCCGAGGTTATCACCAGCATACAAACAAAGTTTACAATCTTACAGAATGTTTCCTGTCTCAGTGACAATGAAATCTGGACACATGGTATGGAAAATATCATGAAACTCTACAACCTCCGGGGTGAAATAATTAAATCAATCAAAACCCAGTCATGAAACAATCCACGTGACATAACAGTGACAAGAAATGGAGATCTGGTCTATGTTGATATTGAAATAAGTACTGTTAACATAGTGAAGAATAAAGAGATTCAAGAAATTATTAGAGTTCGGGGGATGGAAACTTCATAATATTTGTGGAACAACCACGGGCGACCTCCTGGTCACCATGGACAGTGATTTTCGTGAACATGCAAGGGTTGTCCGTTACTCTGGTTCTACGGAGAAACAAATTATTCAGTTTGACAGTAACGGTAAATCTTTGTACTCACATGGTTATACGAAAGATATAGTTGAGAACAGGAACCTTGATATCTGTGTGGCTGACTATGAAGCAAAGGCAGTAGTGGTCGTCAACCAAGCTGGAATCTTCCGATTTTGATACACTGGACATCGCCCTTTTACCTCAGAACCATTTGATTTCATCGGAATCACAACAGACAGCCAGAGTCGTCCTCCTGACATCAGACCGCAGAAACAACTGTATCCACATCCTAGATCAAAACGGACAGTTACTCCTTTATATTGATAATTGTAATCTACATTTACCATGGGGTTTAAGTGTTGACGACAGGGACCACCTCTTTGTTGCTGAATGTCACAGTCATAAGAGTGAAAAAAATCAAATACACGTAAATAATTCAAAGTGAAATCCACCTGTTTCGTCATTTTGTTTGTTCGTTTTAGGAATATTGAGTTGCAAATAACATTGAAAACGGACGTTTTATTCTCTTTCCGATCCTATACTGAGAAAACAACTTAAAAAGTTTATTTTCACATTGAGGAAATTTAACACCCATGATGATAATCGATACCGGTACTGGCACTTTTGGGAGTCGGTACTCCTTTCACTGTCCTATCAAAGCTGCTGAAAGACATTGAATAAGAATATCTTCAGTACACTTTTCTACCTAATTTCTTTAGTATATATAGATTAAATACTACTAATATGTAATGTATATTGACAGTGAATCATATAGATATCCCTTATTATGAATAAATTAACCTTTAATCAAAGGATTAGAAGGTGAATTCTACGCGGGTTAATATACTCGGAGAACTCAATTCCTTAAAAGTAATTGGCCTCGAAGCCTCGGCTGCAATTTGACTCTGAAGGAATGAATCCCTTCTCGTATATTAACTCTTACGTAATTGTCACAAAAAAAAAACAAAAAAATCACCACATTGAATATTTAAATTTAATATCAAAATGATAATGTACAACCACTGTATAAATACATTTTTAAAAAGACTTTTTATTTCTCCTTTCAAAAATTGGAAGACCATAATGTTTTTTCCAAAAAAATCTTTTGAAGGCCTTGTAGAGATTGACATGTTTATTAAAGTCTTTCATCTTCACAAAAATCTTTATAATGATGTTTGATCCCCCCATTTTTAAGCCTTAATCTGATATAATTTTCATGTTTTATAATTATGTTTGCTTTTTAGATTTGTATATCCACAGTTGGTGCACTGTGAAAAAACAATGGTGTAAAATCCAAGAAATCAAGGCCGCGATTTTTCAAGAGTGAAAATAATAAAAATATGCTTGTTTCAATGTTTGAAAATAAAATGAACATAATTAACAAATGCTCTTAAGTTATCTCTATCAGATTGAATGCATTTAGTTGATGGACACAAACCTTAATTCTTGAAATTTGCCGTTATCAATATTTCTCGTCTCATGAATATTCATTAAATTACACCAACCTAAAACTAATTCTTACACAAACCGGCTCGTATATTCGTATGCAACATCCTCATTGGTATTTACACGTTCTCAAGTATTGTCGTGCGATTACCAACATTCTCAGAAATTATTTAAAGTTCTTTAACACAAAAAACTTACCTGTTGTGCTATTCCTCTGGATGTATTTTCCCTGGCAAGTTCGTAAATGTAAAGAAAAGCTACTCAAACAGTTCTAAGTCACAGAAATTTAGGATTTCATTTGCGCATCTTAAATTTCGAGCTGAATTTCAAAACGAGTATATGAATACGTGTCACTACCTGTAAATGTTAACGTTGTTTCACATGAAGAGTCTGCTGCCGACTGTTCAAGGGTAAAAGAATTCCGTCCTCAGTCATACAGTTACTTTTTTTCGATCATTTTGTTTCCCATGATTTAACAGATTTACGGTTTTCCCTGCTTTAGTAGCGTAATAAAACATATTTTCAGTGTTCTATTGTTTCATACCAGATATCTCAAAGTCAAACATTTAAAATAAGTATGCCGATTTCTTCTCTTCATTAATATTTGTATTCCATAAAATACAATATACCATGAACCAAACTTCTAAGTGTTCACCTAACATTTTTGAAGTTTTAAAGAACAAATGCAAATAATGAATAGTTTCTTTAATTCTCGGTTTATGATGCACATTTAAGGGGGCCGAGTATAGTTTTATTGTGAGAAAACTACAATAGCGAGACTCTTCATTTTTATTGCGTGGACCGGGAGGTCCACGCAGTAAATATATAAGCAAGGCTAAACAGGATGCCCTGGGCATACGCCAGCCTACGCATGCACGAGAATTCTAGAGAGTTTCAATCAGCAATCTTCAGCTGACTCCGCTTCACCAATTGCAACTTCTCGGGCTTTTTCGACTAGCTTTCCGACATTCGACAGAAAGACCCAAGATGATGCGACTGAGAGTTCATTGGCGGATTAAAATTTTAATCTTGTACACATACTTTAAAACACGTACTAATCATTGAATTTATGGCACAATGGATACCTTGAGTTTTTAATTCAAGTTGTTAAGTTATCTATAGATAACTTTACAACTTGAATTAAAAACTTAATACATACTAGTTGTAGTCTTAACAGGCATTATTAAGGCTTGCAAAAAAATTGATATACATGTATATGGATTTAAATACACCTTGACACAAGCCTTTAGCAACGGCATTCCATGTGGGAGAGAGGGGGGGTCCAGAAAAAAAAATCTGAACTGATTTGAAACTGAAAAAAAAATTCATTCAGTTCAATTCAATTAAGGTATATGTTAATTATTAGCCAGTATGGGTTATATATGTAGCAAAATAGCCTGGATTTAAAAATAACAAAACTATATGCCAATCAGAGATTAAAATTAACACTTTTACTATGAAAGTGCTATCGGTCAAAGTAGAGAGATCACTGTAGAAAAAGCAAACGAACCTACATTAATATCCAATAAACTTAACAGATTTTCTTTGAATGAATTTCGGTTAAAAGAAAACATGCATTTGGTCCACGTATTGTAGTCATTATTTTAAAGAACAGAAACTTGTATCATACTTAACTTACATTAACTTCAGTGTACATGCAAATTATGGAGGTATTTTTGAGGGACCGTCTCAAAATACAGGTACATTTAATTTACTATAGGATTATATAGGAAAATGCCAATCTTAAGCACTTTAATACAAATTATACAAATACTACATTAGACATTTTGTTCAAACCATAATATTTGATGAGTAATACTTTATTAAACAATATATGTAAGAAACACAATACTACCGTCTTGTTTCCAGAGGGGGCATCTCAAAATGCAAAAAATAGCAAATTTTACTATTTTTATAGAGTTTATCAAAATATGACGTACACAATGGATTCACATGAAAACATAATAAAAATATTATAGAAATTTTAAGCTTTCTCTGTTTTAAATTTCAAGAGCGTATATTGTTAACTTTTTCTTTAATAATATCTTAAATAAGAAATAAATAACAAGTTTATAAACTTCAATGGGAATTGAAGTGGGTCGGTCACGTGATCAAATCCAAATTTGTAAATAGTTAATCATATGCGGGACGCAAAACTCAAGAGAGGAGGGGGATAATAAAACAACAAAAGTTTTTGTAATTCAGTTCCTTATAAAACGATAGACATACCTTTGTATTTTATTCGTAAAAACTAAAAATTATTGATTTTTATATCATACAAGTATTTTAAACTGCACTTAAGCACAGAGACCACACATGCTGTATTTAGAGTGCTCTTGACATCTCTCTGTTGACGAAGGTGATAAACATTGCCTAATTTATTCTCCAACATACTAGTTTAAGACCCGAACAATGCAAACAATTGCAGGGAATATACAGTTGTGTTTAGTGATAACCAAAACCGTAAAACCATTTATTATTTAACTCATATGACTTTCTTTTAACATAACTTTCCCTGTGAATTAAACTATAGAAATTATTTCTAAATCAAAGTGATGATGTATAACTTGATGACGAAGCACTGTTGATGTTAATATGCCTCAAAAGAAAGTAGGTCGTGTTCATAATTTAGGAATTTTTATATCTGCGTCTTTGAAAACATCATGTGACAATTGTTGGAGCTTTACATCAAGTTGACTGATAGTTGTTAGGACCAATTTAAGGGATGGACCAAAATTAACTTTTAGTAATGTGGCAGTACAAAACGTGCTAGGCAAAGCTACTTGTAGATTCATTGTTGATCCATGGTAAGTTACACCTATATCACTAGGTAGGCAACTAAACATACGTAGAATAATATTATTATTTAATAAAAAGCATTGGTTAAGATGTTAAAGCTATCATATTACAACAATTTAACTGCAAGGCTTTGCTTCCTCCGAAAACGATTTAAAGGAAGGGGGTGGTAACATCCTTCTTCAAGTAGTAAATACAGGTACCTTGATAAATAAGACACATATGTGAGTCTTGTTCATGCTTATAACGACATTGTTGCTCTTCATCATTTATGTTTTAAAGGGTAATAATTTTACAAAGTTTCAATGAAATTAAATCTTGAAAAATATTCCATAAGCTCAATTTTCTAATTTGTGAAATTATTAATTTGATTCTTTGAAGAAATTAAACGATAAACGCATAAACATACTGATGTTAACTCCCCCAACCCCACCCCTTTACATTTTATCGCATTGTTAAAGCAGTAGATTGAGTTTGGAGAGGGTTTTTAAATAATGTTTCCAAGGGTTATGCGTCTTTCTGGTTGGATTGCCCGTAAGTTTAGACCTCAGATGAGAAACAGAAAGAATATGTTTGCACTATTTTACATAGTTTAAGACAAAAATACAAGTGAATGTGACCGACTTAAAATAAATCAAAGATGGTGTCCGATGGTAAGCTTGTTTATTATCAGGTAGGGGTATATTTTTTTATAAATTGAAAAAAATAACGTCAGGTGCCTGTAGACTAACCCTGAATTATGTACTTTTTACTAAAAATATGGCGTCCTTTACACGTAAAACTAAATTATTCCTCTGTTGGAAAGTACAGTATAATGGAGTTATAATATTATAGATCTCATCGAAATAGAATCCAAACGTTATTATAAAAGGGAAAATAAAAAAAACAAACAGGTTGAAAATATCTACTAGCAATTAAAGGTATGAATTTTTTGT